GAAAAATTGTATGGAAATTGAATGCAAATGATGATTTCCGCAATGAAATGTTGAATTATGGGTGAAAATGCAAAAAAAAAAAAAATGTAACGTTAAAACGTTTTGAACCAATGAACTCTATACATAAGAACATTTTGTGTTAATAATCCCTTTTATATTTAGGCCTTGTTTGGTTTACATTATTTTTTTCATTCTCATTCTTCTACTCATTTTCAAAAACACGTTCTTCAATAAAATAATAGTTTCCATCACATCAATAACTTTTCTTTCTTTTTCAACTACATAGTCTCCATCACATCAACAGTAAAAATGCATTCTTACTTTCAAAATGTGCACCAAACGGAGGCTAGTGTCTTTTATGTTATTCTAATTTTGTCTGGTGCATTTTTATAAAGGGCTTTGCTACAAGTACATCAGGGTGTACATAAGGGTGTCAATCCCGACATCTCCTTATTGGATGGAGTACCAGTGGGGCCGGCACTCCATCCAATAGGGGGGTGTCGGATGTCCTTTATGAACACCCTTATGTACACCCCAATGTACAAAAAGAATAATCCTTTTATAAATTCATATCAATATTGGAGATATAGTTGAGACGCGTGGAAAAATTGATACCTAGTAATTAGAAAATAAAGTAAATTAACATTATACATTCGAATCCTAATATCTTTCATGATTTGATTAAAGATTTTTGTAGTTCTAATTTCGTAACTTCAAATGATAATTAGACACAATTAAATCAGAATCAAATAATTAATTATGTGTGTCCGGCAAGTATTAGTTAATGTAAAATTAGTATACTCTCTTTATTTTTTTTTAGATCCGTCCACCTGTGAGACAAAATGGACAACTGTCATTATCTATATCTTTATGACGACATTGTGACGATGCAATTACTTTGAAATTCTCACCAGATATTTCCAAGAGAAATGTTATTCATTCCCAATTTATGTGGCGTTTATGTGGCATTAAATGATAGGTGAAATTAAATAAGTCATTTAATTTCACATATCATTTAACCAATCATTTACATACACATTGACTGGGGATTCATCCCAACTGGGGATGAATAGCATTTTTCTATTTCCAAATGTACAATCCTTACAATTTTTTGTTTTGGGATGTTCTTATTGTTTTTAATTGACTTTATTTTTCGTGAAAATACCATATTTTTATTCCAAATTTTTACTTTTGGAATATTTGATTGATAATTTTTTTCGTGAAAAATATTTTTCAACCTTTTGTGACGTGGCCATATTTTCCTCATCAACAAAAAAAAACATTTTCTTTAGGGAGGAATAATTTTTATTTTTTATGTAATTCACACAATCGCGGGCCACATTCACGTGTGAGAGGATTGTCAAATAAAACTGTACATTTAGCTTTATTGATTTTTAAAATGGAAACTCAGCAAATTAATAATTTACGCTAATTAATTAATGTCCAACGAATGGTATTACTTTAGAGATTAGACGTTATAACAAAAAGCTTAACGAGTCAAGTTTCTTTATGAAAGAGAATCTTTAGGGCATCATTAATCTTGACTAGTAGGAAAGGCCAAGAATTAATATCCCGCCGCCCCTCCCCCATTATGAAACTTTGGCACGTGAAAATTGAGACGTGGCGAATAAATAAGCGTTATATTCAAGGGGTGCCCACGTGGTTCAGTATAAACACAGCCGAGCCGATGGTGCCAACTTAGGCGGCGCTTGCTTTCTGTCTAGCTTTTCAACACGTCAGTCGGCCACCCCCCACGTGATTGGGTCCCTTCACTGTTTGTTTGTTTCTTGTTAAAGAGTTATCACGCGCATATGTATATGGGTGATTCCAGTTATAATTACATTTCGTTAGGAAATAAACGATAAAGCTAAAAGTTGAATTATAAAGTGTGTTGTCAAAATTTAGACCGTTGATTTTAAATGATTTAAAAATCAGTTTCAAATTATTGGTGTAGATGTTATTTTCTCAACCAATTTTGTAACCCAACTTTGTACATGTAGCATAACTCGGAAATAAAACGCCTCTATTATTTAAATAATTAGTAATTAATTATTTCAACCCATGTTTGAGTCACATTTCATATAAATTTATTTTTTTAACAATTTCATTACAATCATACGTTCTTTTAATAAAACAACTTTATAGGCGTGTTCGGCAAATATTAAAAAATTCGATTATAATTGAAAAATTAGCTGTTATTATTAACTTTTATTAATCGAGTGAGACCCAATAATGACTATATTTTGAATTTTAATTAAATTTTAAGCACGGTCGAATATATATATAAATTACAAAATTTATTCTTTTATTAAAATACTTACTTTGATTATGAAATGGAGCCCAAACAAGGGCTTAAAGTCTTTGAAAATAAAAATTGCATTTATCCGTTAAATATTAGAATGGAAAACAGCAGGAGGCCGCGTGGAGCGGCTGCTATCAAAGTAGACCCAAAGAGACACCCCACAAATTCCGCCGACGCAGAAAGGGCCCTACCGAAAGGCGCGGGAGCTGAATTTTGCAGCGTGGACCCCATTCCTCTGTCTGCTTCCTGGTTTGTTCCATCACACGCATAAATTTTGAGAGCAATGTTATTCGTACAACCAAATCAAATGTTGAAACACGTGTTGACATACCTTCACAATAGAGGGATCCACTGTTTTTTTGAATTTTTTAAAAATACGGACCTCGCACACATGACGCATGTGAGAGATTATCAACATCTTATGTACAAATAGACTTATTGAATTTTTGAAATTATAATCCCAACCAATTCCGATTAAATGAAAAGTATAATTAAATTAGTTATCATATTTCATTTAGTCTCTGTTTGTTTCATATGATTAGAAGAATTTTTACGATTACAAAATGGATCGTTTGGAATCTTTGACTACCTTGTTTCATAGTGTGACCCACTTTTTGAAAAATAAGATCAAAAATTTCATTTTCATGTACAAAATATTGTGAAGCAAACAGGAGCTTAGGTTATCACTTAAGATAATATAGGTTGAGGTTATGATTTCAGTGTTGCTAAATATGTATTATTTTTTAAATAAATAAAAATTAGGTGAGATTTGAGGGCGGCGAATTAAAGTAACACGTGGCGTCCACCTTAGGCACGACATACCCCGTCAACACGGTATTTTTGAAAGCAAGCCCTCATTTGGATGCTGTCGCGTGAGCCGCCTGTCCCGCCGTCTGTTGTATTGAATGCATTTCTCATTTGCTTTGCGTTGCTTTTTGACCCATTCATTTCTCTATTTTTTAATATCATTCTTTTAATTAATTACTTTTATATTCTTTACCGAGTAAATAATTACCCCTCTTTCGTTTTTTTCACTTATAATTTTTAAAGGTTTCAAAATAGAAGTGTCTATGTGATGAGTAATCTTTGTTAAGGAATAGAATCTCACATCGAATAAAGATGTAAATATATATCAACTTATAAAAAATTGAGTTACTTCTCTTATTAAGGTTGACATTTTAAGATGAAACATCAACTCTTAATATGGTATCAGAGCCATTTTAGCTTACGCTCGATCATTTGTCAATGGCTTCCTCCTCTACGCCAATGGTTGTTTACACTCAACCGAATATTGGTCAGCTTATTTCGGTGAAGATGGATGGCACTAATTATTTGAAATGGGTTTCTCAATTTTTACCAATTCTACGAAGCAATGACTTGCTCGGATTTGTGGATGGTAGTGAGCCCTGTCCAGAGCAGTTCATTGACAACCTTGGTGGTGAACCAACAGAAATTGTTAATGACGAACCAACAAAATTTTTGAATCCTGCATACTTGCTATGGTAGAAAAAGGATCAGTTTGTCCTCGGTTAATAGGCCATGCCCTTACAATGACTAAAGTTTCCATGTGAACATATAAATCAAGTCAATCAACATCGTCAATTTTGTAAATAATATGGCCCTCTTCGGTATCCTTTAACTTTTCATATTTTTTATTCACGCATTCTTAAAAAAAAATTTTATTCAAAAAAATATTTTTTAAGTTTAAAGGCCAACAAACAGGGACACGATTGTATTGAGAAAGTTGTGATCACTTTATCCTGCTCTTATTTCGTTTTGAAGAAAAATATTGAACAATACCAGACTAAATTTATGAAATAGTTGATAGATCTAATTCATTATGTAATGTATTAATGTTCCACAAGCATTAAAGCCCACTCAAATGCATAAGCATTTATCTTTTTATTACGGAAGGGTTAGTGCTGTACATGTCACCATAATACCCAGAATAAATGACTTATTAAATACTGTACTTGACTTGTATTAAATACATCAATTTATTGGTTGATATCAACTTTATTTCAAATTTCGAGATACGCCTTAAATTTATCCATTAATGAATTGATGTGTCATATAACTTAGCATCAATACTTAATAAATCATTTCTCATATCCAGAAATTTTAACAAATGTCGTACTTAGAATTTTAACACTAACATAGCACCACACCAAGTCACCAATGTGTTAAAAGAAGTTCGAACAACAAACCTTCCACGTGCATATTTGATTTGATGTAGTAACGAGCAGTCTAAAACATCAATTTCGTCGATAACTCTTTTAAGGTTAAAAAGTTCAGAATTGAAGGTGAGAGACGACTTCGCAACATGTCATAAAAGTAGATGACTTAATTTGCAATTTTCCGAAAACTGAAAACCGTACAGATTCTTAAGATCATGAATTATGATAGTGGCGCATACTTCAATAATTTCTTTCATTTAGAATCGTTAATGTATCTTGTGTAGCAAATTTCAATTAAAAAAAAATATATATATATATACACACACATAATTGCATTAAATAAAATAATTAATCAGATTTAGCCAAAAAGGGGAATGAATTCTATTCCAAAGAACTAAACAGCCGGCCGTTTACACACGACTATTAAATATTAATTAACAACCAAAGAAATTACAACTAATTTCTGTCGGCTGAAAAAAAGAAGAAAAATTGAAGTTATTTACTGATGTCATAATTAAGGTTCAATAATCCATTAAAGGCGACAGATTAAGATTAAGATCAAGATCAAGCCCCCTCTTCGTAATTGTGTCAGTTCCATCGAAAACAGAGGAAGAATCCGAATCACTCTGTACGCCGCCGCCGCTACGATAATCAACTGCTGCCTTGTTCAGCCGGCGGGATCCGGCACGGTGGTCTACCATCGCGGGCATCAATTGCTCGAAGAAAAAAACTTGCTGTCCATTTGGCATCACCGCTATGGTCGGCCGATGTTGTAAAATCTGATACCCATTAACATGAACAAGGCCTCCAACACCACCAGCACCGATTTCGTCTACCTCCGCGGCGGCGGCGGCGCCAAGACGGCGAGTGAGATCCAGCTCGATCGGCGCGTGCTGTTTGTTATCAGCACTCGACGACTCCACGGTGCTGCTGTGGCTGGGACTATGGTCCTCAGAGGGCAAGGGAAAATTGGTTTTCGCCTTAGGCCCACGAAAATCCCTTGCGGCGGCGTCATATGCCCGCGCCGCCTCTTCCGCCGTGTCGAACGTACCCAACCAAACCCGACTTCTTTTACCCGGGTCGCGGATTTCGGCGGCGTAGCGGCCCCATGGTCTCTTCCTCACACCTCTGTAGTGCACCTCTTTAACCACCCCATGAACTTTTCCATTTCCTCCCTTGATCCCGTTAACCTTATCCTTGGCAGCCATCAAATTCAAATGTTTCATAAATCTAATTCTTACGAGTCGTGACTGAGTGAAAAGTGAGTTGTGAGAACGAGTTTTATGGATGAAGAGCTGAAGGGGAAGGCCACAATATATATAGGAAAGTTAAGAGAGAGAAAGTGAGCTGTGGACTCGGTCAACGGGGTGTTAGTGTGTGAATTTGTTGTGTAAAAGTGGGTGTAAGAGGGAGGGGTAACGTGGCACGCCAGAGTTGCAGGAGACAAGGGCTCCTAAGACGTTGATGTGCCGGCATTACTACTGTACACCGCCGTTATTTATGGGTTTTGATCCATTAATTACTCCAAACGCTCCTTTTTGACGCCGTATAATGCACCGTCAATAATTAATGCACCATAATTTAAAGAAACTAAAATTTTAAATCGTTTCAATTAAGCCCCTATTTGAACCTCGTTGTTAGCTAATAATACATTTTGAAATATTAGATTTATGGAGAATATATTATGGCTAAAAAATAAGGAAACTTTTTGAATTTACGTATAATATTATTTTATTAAAAAATATGTATTGAAAAGAAGGGCGAAAAAAATGTATTTGAAAAATAATGAAAATCAAATCATATTTAAATTTTTTTCTTCACAAATAATTATAAATTAATTAAATTGAAAAAAGCCGTAATGACCCGTTCAAAATAACAAGGCACCAAAAGCCGTGAACTGCCGACTCTTGTAATAAGCCAGCCGTCTTTCCCTCCTCGATTTATCCGTACAATCAGTTGGCCCCACAGTTTTACACCTAACACGCGTCTGCCTAACAAGCCGTGTATGCGTCACTCAATTTTCTTCCTGCCCTAGTTTAAGTCCTTGTTTGGGACTAGGAGAATTTGTAGATGATGTCTCAAACTTTTAAGAAAAGTGCACCGTGATCTCAAAACTTCAAAATATATGGTTCCAATCACTTGTGTATTGGATAAATAATAATCTCGAAGTATGAACAACCTTTTATTCTTCTACTAGGGCGATTGCATAGTATCTCTCTCATTGGTTACATTTCTATTAATGACTTTGATACGACAAAATGATCTTCATTTTATCAGTAAAATACCAAAAGGGTGGAAACTTCAAAACGATTCAACCATATGTCGTTTTTGTTCATACGAAATTGTAAAATCCTACGGTGTTCTTATTTTATTCATAGATCGATTTATGCTTTCGAGAGACCAAAAGCATGAGATAGTGACCTAATACACTTGGGGGTTTTTGTTTTTTATTGAGGAAATTGCACTGTATGTCATTTTTTGACTTAAAATTTACAAAAATGTCACTTTTTTAAAGTCTTTACAAAATTTTCACTTTTGGACATTTTTGTCCCCCTTTTCAACCACACATTTCTCATCATATCACAATTCAAAATCAATTCTTCCCCCAAAAATCCCTCCCAAACAAGCTTTATATTTGCTTCTCATGGTAGATTCATCCGCTCCGATGCTTCAACAATTACTCAGGTATTAATGGTAAGATCAAACCAAAACTCAGGATTGTTTTCGAATCTTCTTTGTGGTGATAATACCAAAATATCAATTCGACTCAACGTTTTTATGTTGATCCTTACGGGTACTAAATTCTGTCCCTGCTGATTTAGGTCAAAATGAATTTTCCATTAAGCTCGCAAGGGAGGAATCGGTAATTGTGCTTCCAGGTAAGAAAAATGCCTTCATAATAAATAATAAAAAAAGGGTTATTTTCAAACAAAATAAAGTATATTATCTTTTATTACGTAGGAGCACAAAAATTGGTTCAGAATCAGTAGCGGACCCAGCACCTGATAAGGGAGCGCGATCGCGCGTGCAGGGTTCCACCAGAACAATGCCAGATCGCAGGGGAAAAGGGAGATCGGCGCCGGCATGGGAGAGGCTTAGGTTTTGCTTCGCTTGGTTGTTGGTCCGTCTTCTTCTTCCTCATTTTTTTTTTTGGAAAAATTCATATCTAAGGTGTATTCTTTACCACAATTCAAAAGTAAGGTAAATAGTTTGCAAATTCAAAAATCAGGTATGGATTTAATTAATTAAAGATAT